TTCTGTATCGTACACCCAATTTATTCAGAGTGTGCTCATCATGACCACCTACGGTACATGTCTGTCTCTCAGCTCGGTATTTACTCCCCACTAGTTGAAAATAAATGATCGAGACGAATCTGGATATTTGACACTTCTTCCATTGTGAAAAATAAAAGGATCAATTTAAAACCCTTCATTACTGTCCCTAAGAGGAGTGGAAGGGAAATTGAAGATGCTGTCATCAATGAAAAGGAATTTTCCTTCAGAGTACTGGGATTTAAATCAGCAAATATAGTCCAAAAATTGTTGTTGTTGAAATTAAAAGTTGTTCTAGACTATGAATTTCATCCTTAGTCGGAATGGATGGTGGGGAGAAAGAGATCATAGGTAATAACTCATTTTTTCTTTAAAAAAAAATCCTCAAGTGATAGAGCTTCTAGGAGTCACAGAGATACTGACGTCATCATCAAAAATTTATTAAGCACCTACTCTGTGCCAAGTACTAAGGATACAAAGATGAAAATGAAATATTCTCTGCCCTCAGGGGCTTATATTCTTTTAGAGGAAACCATGCATGCATGTATAAGTATATAATTAATAAATATAAACAGAATAACTTCAAAATAAATTCAATGTGGTTAAATATAAGATGCTTTAAACATCTTAGTGCAATTCTAAGCTACTAAAGTTTAAAATGGAACTGAGGTTTTTGAGATACCCTGTGAAAGGTTGTCTAGACAACATATAGATGAAAATGGAAGGGAGGAAGGAAGGGAGATAGTTTCTACCGATGCGTGTGAAAGAACCCAATTGTTTCAATAATTCCAAGGTTAAGCAAGTCCAATCCTGTATACATTACAACTCAATGTGTAAAAAAAGAGATGCACCACTACCAAGATGCCCGTTATTTACCTAATAGACCATAAAAGGTTTCTGGGGACTCATTACATTCAATTGGGTCAATTTGAAATGTGCAAATATGTATTTAAAATTTGTAAATATGCATTGAGACTAAGTGTGGGAAAACTGTTAGGAAAAGCATGTATGGGTAATTCTTGACCATATCCATATGCATTCCCTTTTTTTTAACCTTTTTTTCTTAAATCGAGGCACCTGAATCAGTCTTCATACTCCCAGATACAAAGGTACACATCTTGCCCCACTATTTAAAAGAAAATTAAATATCAGTTTGGTTGACTGTCTGCTAGGTAACATAGCAAGCATTTCCATGGCCCTACTGCATATAATTCAGTAACACTAACTTTGGAGTGGAGGAGGGAAACCTATGGATGGATCAGTAAGATATAGCGAGGATTGGAGTGGTCAATTCATTTTCCCTCAAACAGAAGATGATTTCACACCCCCATCACTATTGTCTCTTTCTTGTTGGTTTCACACATGTGAGAAAGGGAGAAATACACAGGTTTGCATGGGCACATCTATAGCCATATATAAAACATTATGTATTTGTTTCCTTTCCTTGTCTTGCCCTGAAAATGCTTCACTTTACCAGGAGTAAAAAGCACTCAGAGGCTTTTTTTGTTTACCCACAGGAGAAAACAAACACTTAGCCCGATCAGTTTGCTAATCGAAATACCTGATAGAAGAATAAACCTGTTAGAACTAAATTTACCAAATGATCATCCTCATTCCTCTGTAGATGCTGAATTTACAATGCATCTGAGTTAAAGATACTCTTTACAAAAAAATGTTAACCTAGTCTCTAAATGCAACCACCTGCCTGGTATATATGGAGTGTTATCTATCCCAGTAGAATACCACACTCTGGAATTAAAAAAAAGAAAAAAAAATATTTTTTGCAATTCTAGTTTAGTTCCATGACTCTTGCCTTTTAACAAAGGAGATTCTTACTTAGATAATCTCTAAGTAGGAAGCGATTTTTTTTTAAATGGGGCTAGAACAGGGTTCTTATCCTTTTTATGTGTTAAGGACCCCTTTGGCTGTCTGGTGAAGCCTATGGACCCTTTCTCAGAATAACATTTAAAATAATCGAAGGCAATGCTAAATTTCACTTAGAAAACAGTGAATATTAAGATCTATTTTTTTTTTTACCATCTAAGCTCATGGACTTCCTGAAATCTATCCATAGATTCCTTTGGGGTCCATGAACTCTAGGTTAAGAACCTCTGGGCTTAAAGGGCTGGAAAGCCAAGCCAACCCTTGAGTCATTAGGAAAGGTCTGGAGGGAAGTTTTGCTTAAATCATTTTCTTTTGCTCTTTGTCAGCAGCTGGAGACATATATAGCTAAAGCATGAAGTCAGGATTGCCCCTTGCCTGTTCATGGTGTTAAATCTCAATAAATTAAAATTATTTTTTGTTGCTGTTGCAGTTTATTATTTAATTTATCTTCACCCCCATACCCATAACCCCATCCTCATCCCAACACACACACACACACACACACACACACACACACACACACACACACACAGGCTTATGGGGAAGAAGAATATTTTCGTTTCTTCAGGTTCTTGAAGTGAGGGCTACCAGCGACCATTGCCCACCCTAGCTCTGTCTAGGCAAGTAATGCATTAATTCAACAAACACTTACTAAGCCTTGCTTTGAGTGAGGCATTGTGTAGGTGCTATGAGGGATACAAACACTCTAGGTAAAACCCAGTCCCTGACTACAAAGAGTTTATGATCCATTTTTTTTAATAGACTAAAATAAATTTGTTTGGAAAATACTGCAAAGGAAATAAATAAGCTATTTCTAGGTGGATCAACGACTTTAGAACATAATATCCATTAATAATATTTTGCATTTGATTTCCTTTACCTTTTCATAGAAAATATAAATTGAAAAAATAGGTCATCTTTAATTTTATACTATAGAAAACAAAAACCAAGTGTAAAATATAACTTGATGTTATTAAGGTAACTATGTTCTACTCTACAAACTAATTGTAAAACACAACTTAAAATTATCCAGGGAAAAATATTGGTGGAATTAGGCAATTCTAATATAATGAAGGTAGGTTCTCTACATGTTATGTTTTATTTTAAATGGATTCCTTAATTTTGTATTTTGTTTAATAATGATTTGTATTTAATAATTTAAATCAGTTTTGTATGCACTTATTTTTGTTTTGAAGAAGGCAAAGAAAGTCCATAATGTTTATGTTTTTCCCTAAACAATATTTCAATGCTACTCAGAAATGTATTCCCTTAAAATAGTCATATTCATTACCCCTCTCAAGATTCAGCAGTTTCTGATTTTGTTATCTTGTTGACCACATTTAGGCAATATTTTTCATTGTGAGAAAATATTTCTGTTAATAATTCTTCACCAAATTTAAAAATAAAATATTTGGATTTGGATTTGCAAACTAACCAAAGCAATTAGAATTCACTGTGAACTGAATGTGGTACAAATTTCTTTGTAAACTGGAGATAATTTTAAAAAATGAAATAAATATTTTAAAAGTTGTTCTGGGAAAATTCCTCCATCTGCTTTGGACACCTGCAATAATGTCTTAAAAGGGCAAGGTGGTGTTTAAAATTTTTAATTTCGTTAAAGGATACTCAGTCCCCCAAAAGCTGTTCTCTTGAATTGAAACCTCGTGAGGCAAGCTTCAGTCCTGAGCAAACAAAAGCAGCTGCATTATAAACCCTTGAAAAAAGGGTTTATAATGCAAACGCAGCCGTGACCTTAACTCTAGAGGTGCAAACATGCGGCTGTAATAGGAAAATTATGCTTTAAAACAGAATGGGGTTCGCCGAATGTTTTAAGATTTCTATTTGATCACGTTTAGTAGCTTTTCTAGTTTCAAATAACAAATGAACGAAAGGGAAGCTTTTGCATCCTTCCCCAAAAAGGAATGCATTTCTGTTTGGGGGCAGAAGAGGTGCAAAGGGTGATGAAAGATTTGAACGTCCATTAGTAAATAAGAACCTCCAATCTAAGAAGAATCCCTGCCCCACAATCTGACTTAGAAAATAATGTTAACATTTTAAAATGTTAAATGCAGTTAATGGAATGAAGAAAGCAAAGACATTCATTTCAAACCTGGGTTGAATTTTGCTTTGCAATTTTGCCAGAAAAAAAAGAATGAAAACAAAGGGCTAAATCCTATGATTGTTTACTGCAGTAATTTAAAGAAAATGCCAGGACCTTCAGCATCAGCTAAGAAGGAAGGAAGGAAGGAAGGAAGGAAGGAAGGAAGGAAGGAAGGAAGGAAGGAAGGAAGGAAGGAAGGAAGGAAGAAAAAGAAAGAACAACAAGAAAGGGTGAGAAAAGAAAATGCTGAGGAAAAAAGTCAAAATAGGAAAGTCAAAATATATAAAACAAATAAAACCAAACAGGGTCAAGATTAAGATGAACAGAGGAAAAGGAAATTAAGAACATTTTCAATAAGACCCACATTAATGTATTAAGGAGAGGAAAAGGGAATAAAAGTTGCAAGGGGAAAAAAAATGAAAGTCTAGACTAATGAAGTGGCAAAGGAAGGGAATTGATTCCAATATTGTAAGATTTGGAAACACCCAATGAATGAAAGAAAGATATAATTTACATTCAGATAAATAAAAGGCAAAATTTTTATTGATTTCCGACATTAGCAATCATTCTAATTTTTAAAACCCACATCTAAATTGTCAACACTTTCTGCGTGTCCAAGGAGGACTCAGGTAAGGCTATAATATCCTGTACTGAGGATTCTCCCTTTTTAAGAAGTCAGCCCAATAGAACTGACTGAACTGGAACCCAGACAGACTCCTGTTTCCCCCAGTACCAAACAAATAGAAGCCACTAATCAGGGGTTCATAACCAGAGGGCCATGAACCTGATTAAAAAAATACTGTGATAACTGTATTTCAATATAATTGGTTTCCTTTGTAATCCTATTTACTATTTTATTCATTAAGAAAAAACATGACTCTAAGAAGAGGTCCATAAGCTTTACCAGACTGCCAAAGAGTTCCAGGTTAAGAACTCCTGTTTTAAGTGATATAGAACAATTTGGGACTCCTTATATTTCTTTCTTTCTTTTTCATAGTCAAAAGCAGAACAAAACTTGGATGTCTGGGCAAAGAAAACAGTGACACCTTATCTGTTTTGATTAAGATATGAAAATGAAATAAGCAAAGGGAGAGGAAGCTGACACAACAGAAGAAGAGGGCTGGATCTTGAGAGACAGTTATCTGGGTCCAGGGGCAACTCAGGTATGAATAATAAGCAAAGAGCAATTATTAGCAAAAGAGCCCAACTCTCAAGCATATGATATCCCATTTGAAGAAATCAAAAGTGCAGTTTTTCCTTTCTTTAGGTAAGATGTTCCAGGAATTATTCTGGACCAAGCTTTGGGATGACTTTGTTCTCCAGAGTGATAATGGCACATTTCCCCGGGCCAAACTAAGGTTTTGTACCAGAATGAGGACTTTGGATGGAATGTTAGCTGCTCTTTGATTAATGTAATTTACTTTTATATTATTCATTCATTCAATTTTTTTTAAGAGCCCATTCTGCTGGTTTTTCCACAGTCCAATTTGGCTAAATGCGGCATCCATGATTAACGCCCTCATTTGGCACAACTTGGACCTGGCATTGTGTAAATAGTGCCGTACCCATTAATCTTGCCGAAACACTGCAGGACTCTGTGTGTGTGTCAGTGTGGCAGGGGGAGGGTTCGGTCACGGCACCACTAATGTCCTAATAAAATCAGCCTCTGGGATCTGACCCTAACCTTTCTGACGTCCTCAGCACACAGACTGTTTCTCATTAGAACTTTTTCTTAGATCCAAAGATCAAGCATTGGCTCTCTTTGCCTCCATTTTGTAAGCTGAAGACAAATAGCGTTTAGGGCTTGATATAGTATCCTAAGGTGTGCCTGTGTCTAGAACGCTAAGTTATTTGTACTATTTCACTGGGGAGTTGGGACAGGGGAGGGGGAAGGGAAAGAGCAGGAGAAAGGAAAGACTTTCAAACCAGTCTGGCATTTCAACAAGTCTCTTAATAAACACATAGGACTATTATCCCATCTGAAAGAATGTGTCCATGTGATTTAGCTTTCAGGAATTAAAAGGAGCATCACAAATTGGCCTGTGGGACCTTTGACCAACCTTCCACTGGCAGAGTTTGGCTCAAATTATTATGATTATTTTTAAGTAAGGTAGCAGGAATTCCCTCTGTCTTATATCCACAGATGATCCAGAATCAGACTGGATTTTTAAGCTGGGGTCAGATTTCCAGCTCTGAAATGCTATTTTCTACCAAGGTTCCAGCTCTGTTTCATGTTCTCCCCTCTTCACCTCCCCTCTATATCCCATACACCTTTTTGAAAGATGTAAACTCCGTTTGGGCCTCTTTTCTTCCCTTTTAATTTGAGTGAAGGCTATAAAAGGGGCCTAAATATTATGCTACAGGCACCATATATCTCAAAGAAAAGCTACCACTGGAGGGAAATAGACACTTCCACTTCCACTGCTTTGTCTAGGACTTAAATCAGACCAGATCTTAAAGGATCTATTTTAGCTATTTTTTTTCTTGGATCTGGTACCTTCAATTATTAACGGCCTAGACAGAAAAGGACCTGGGTGGGGAGAAAGGCTGAAGAACCATTCCTCACCTGATAAGAAGGGGAAAGGAATCTGGTACATTTTAACAACAACCAAACTGAAGCATCTCAGCTTTGCCTCTGGTCTGAGATGGGATTGCTTTCTAAAGCAACCTAAAACAAATGACTCAGCCCCTTTTGGTAAGTGTTGAGGAGGGGTGGGATGGCATGAGAATGGGAGTTGAGGGGGAAGAAGGTAAAGAGGGTCCTGATCAGGGAACTGGGGATTGAGGTTTGTGTGATTTGAGAGCTGTTAAGGGCAAGGCATGCTTAGTATGTAAGAGGCCTCCATGAGGGAGAATGATGGGATTGGGAAAAAAGAAGGGATCTTAGGGTCAATAAGAGCCAAGAATGTTGCAGGTCCATCTAGAGTGACATTTATTTCCCTCAGAGCTCATGAACCCCAAGTATCCATCTTGTCACTATCGTGAAAATTAAAAGTTTCCAAAATGAAAATTTTAAATTCCCCTTTGTATTGTCTGCACCCAGTCTAAAAGAGGCCAGCTAGCTGGTGCGAAGACGCCTTCAAATCTATTAGCCAGCAAGTCTTCAAGGAGCTGGAGATACAATGCCAGAAATGTGATAAATTCTCTATCTGCTTAATCGCACATGTCAATTACAGTAGTCTCTTCCACTGCACAAACTGTGAATAGCAGCTCAGAAAATACAGCTAAAAGACAGTGTTATAATTCTGAATACTCAACAGATGATTCAAAACCCAACGTCAGAGCCAAATCCTAGATCAACGACACTGCCTAAGCAAAGAAAAATTTTCATGCTGCTCCGCTTGAGTACAAGGAGTACAGAAACGTGGCACAATGATACAGAGACAGAAGGGCAAATGAAACCTGCAAAAATAGATACTGAACAGTTTGAGACAAATAAAAGAAGCATGGAAAAGCCTTATTCAGGAAGGGAGCAAAACAGCAAAACAAATTTGTTGTGATTTTTCAGCTACAGGGCTGTGGTTGTTTTTTTTTTTAATCATTTTAATATCCATTTTTTGTGTAGGAGATTTTTTTTGTGAACAATATTAAAAGTCTAAAGCTTAGAAAGAAATGAAGAGAATTATATTTTTCACATAAGAATAGTTCAAGGGATAAAAAAACAAAAGCTACATGAAAATTTTAAATGCAATTATTTTAGATTAGAATATTTGGATTGAAAGATCTTGAGGGTATTGTTTTTGATAAGACAGCCCCACTTGACAAGGCCTGTCACCACGCCAGGTTTCTCTGTTGTCAACTAAAGATGAAAGGACATCAGAAAGAATTAACTTCAGCTTTTAAACATTTTGAAAATGTCAGAGAGGTCAGAGATAATATATTTCTGTGTATGGCATATTTACTTGATGAAATTTGTGCTAACAATGTGTTTTTACTTTTCATTCAAGTTGGTCCAAAATCTTGGTAATTGATCACAGGCTAATGACACTTGACAAGGAAACAATATGATTGGATAAATTCTGTATCAATCACAGCTGTTGCAGGTATAGGCCATGCATATTACACTTTCTAATGCCTGTAATTGGCAACTCTGGAAAAACCAGCTAGGTCTCCTTGTGCATTTTCCATAGTCATTTATTTGGTTTCCAGTTACATGGAAGCCAATTTAAAGCTCTTTTTAACTCACACCTCACCATCAGACCTATTGTTCCTGTGTTCTCCTGAATGCCTCTGACAAATTCAGTGATTTGTTTCAGTATGGGTCTCAAAAGAAAGTGTAAATAATGTCCAATTCTTCCAAAACGTATCTGGATATTATGGAGGACTTCCCTAGTTAAAAAAAAAATTTAAGGAACATGTTATATCTAATATCATGACGAAGCCTAAAATTTGTAAACAACACACAAATAGGAGATGATTTTCCATTTCTAAGGTGCATTCTTGCCTCCAAAAAGGGAAAGCGGTCAGTTAAAAAGAAGTCCAGGTACTATTACTTCAAACTAATTCCTCTTTTCCACATGAGATTCAGAGAGAAAGGTCAAGTCTGCTGTCATTTCTTTCTCTAACTGATGCTCAGAGCCTGTGTGCACTGAGCATGATATATTTAAAAGAAGCCAAGCAATCGGCCATTTTCTGCATCAACTGTATTAATCATAAACCCTCCATCTTGAGCTGAAACGAGAGATTAGGTGAAGGGGGTGGGAGGGCCATTGTAAATAGCAAATGCTCACAGAGGAAGTCCTTGCTGCTGAAAAACCAAACTCATCTTTTCCCTCCATCTTAACAAAATAATAATAATAATAATAATAATAACGTATCCCTCACAACTGAGAGAAGGGCCATAGCATCGTTGTAATTCATAAAATAGGCTGCCTACAAAATGGAAAACTAGCAAGAGGCCGTTCAGGCAGCTGACTCCCGCATCCAGAACTGACAAAGAGGCAAGGTGTGTAAAAAAGTCCATCAAATACCCCAAAACTTTGAGTGATGTATACCAAGGAAATTCTGAGAGAAGTTATTAAGAGACACACCAGCGAATACACATCGTGTGGGGATACACACAGAGTAATTAGCTATATACTAAAATGAAAGAGCAGAGTGGCAATAGCCTTGTGTCAGACATGGAGCTCCCTAAGTCTACAGCGCAGAGATATCATGTAAAAAATCATAACAGAACATTCATCCACCATGGCAAAGTCTGTTAGGGAGTGGGGTGATATCGTTTGCTTAAGGATTATATAGAAGATCTAAAGGCCCAAGCAAACAATGCCTTTGTGTGAAATCGCTGACAACAAAGTGGAGACAATCAGTTAGGCCATTATTAGTTAAAATCATCGTCTTGGCCAGGAACGTTTTGGAAGGGAAAAACAACAGAGGGTGGTTCATTTTTAAGAAATCTTATTAGAGGAATCTATGAAAAGTCTTGCCCTGCTTTAAAAAGAAAACAAAATCTTATGGCAATCATTAAAAATGAAATATTTTCTGAACAAGAGGACAGCAGAGACCTCCTCCGACTATGCAGATGCTACCCTCTTCCATTCACACTGACCCACTTGGGTGTCTTAAATAATGTCCTTGTCATAGTTCTTTGACTCTCAAGGCTGCACTGCCCGTGAACTTCTCAGGGCTCCACACATTAGCCTATGAGACAATAGAGCCACTTCTTTTAAAGTAACCATTAACTAATGCTCAGATACTGTCAGATCACTCATAACTGAAAATCCACAGAACCCATAGGGCTCCTTCTGGCTACCAAATGAATTTATTACAGCCAGGCACCTATTGTACCTTCTGAGCTCTATTCTTCAACGGATAATGATTGTCATTATAGCACTCTGCATTTAGGGCAGCTCCTTTTATCTGAAGTTCTCCCCAGACCCCAAGGTTGTTAGGACTGTGATCATCATCATTATCGATTAATATTCTGGAGTGCCTACTGGTTTCACAGCATGATGCTGGGTGCTGTATTCAATTAAGACAGATTCCCACCGCAGTCCATGATTAGTCACTAGATCTGATCACATATGCAAAAGGCATATGCTAAAACAGGCATATCATACAGGATGAAATACAAAGTCCAAAATAGGGTGAGTTGAATAGATTTTTTTTCATAACTGGTTAGGTTCCATAGCCTTTATCTACCCACCTCTCGTTTAATATTCACAGTTGTTACAGGGTTAGAAGAGACCCAAGAAATCATCTTGTCCGACCCATTCCCAACCAAGAATTCCCTCTACATCATTGACAAGTGGTTGTTCAGACTCCTACCTGAAACCTCCAGTGAGGAATAAACCAATATCTCTGGGAATAGATCCTTTTTGCTTTCAGAGAGCAATAATTGTTAGGATGGGTTATTCCTTATATCAATCCCCAATCCATCTCCTCTGCAACTTTTATTCTTTGTGCTTTCTTAGCTCTGTTGAACAGAATGAAGAGCCAGTATTTATATGGTGCTTTACCATTTATGAAGCACTTTGCAAATATCATCTCATGTGATAACTAGCCCAACAACTCTTTGGATGCTTGGAGACTCCATCATAGCCCTCTTTCTTTTCTTTTCTTTTCTTTTTTTTTTTTTTAGGCAATTGGGGTTAAGTGACTTGCCCAGGGTCACACAGCTAGGAAGGGTCAAGTGTTTGGTCTGAGACCAGATTTGAACTCAGGTTCTCCTGACTTTACGACCGGTGCTCTATCCTGCACCACCTAGCTGCCCCCTTTCTTGCAAGTCTTTCCCTGACCTAAACCTTCCCAATTCCTTCAACTGGCCCTTATGTGTCAGTGATTCCATTCCCCTTACTATTTTAACCTTCTCGGGACATGTTTAGAACTTCCTACCACTGTCTTCTTTATAGAGTGTATTTCAAATGGAAAGAGGCACAAAGCTCCAACTTTGCTACCCAGGAAAGAAATAAGCATTTATAAAGAGCCTACTATGTATGAGGTACTATGCTAAAGGCTTTTAAAAAAAAATTTCATTTGATTATCACAACAATCTCGGGAGGTAGGTGTTATTATTATCCTCATTTTACAGTTGAGGAAACTGAGGCAAACATAAGTTAAGTGACTTGCCCAGAGTCACATAGCTAGTAAGTATCTGAGTCTAGATTTAAATTCATGTCTTCCTGACTCCAGGATCAGCATTCTATCCACTGTACCACCAGCTGCCTTACTATCTTAGGAAAGAAATTGTACAGTAAGTCAGAGCTAGCCTTAAGAAAGTAGCCTATATTTACATATAGTACCATATCCATCCCTCTTCATCCCTGGATCAGTATCACTCTTAATCCCACCCCTATGAAAGCAGTCTGATAAATTAATTCATACATGACTTTGTTTCATAACAACAGGTTACTCTCCTAAGGCTATTTACATTTTAAATGAAAATATAGGTAGAGGGCAATGCTCAAATGGGGCTGGGGAACCCAAAGGAATAGACCTGTAATGGCAGAATTGCAGATACTGTGTCACCTGTGGAGGGGGAAATAATTAGTTCTTCTAGGGTAAAGTGTCCTTTTATTCTCCTCTCAAATCACAACTTTGATAACTGCTGACTGACTCCATTCCCATGCATAAAGGCGGACATGATAATAATGAGTATGTATGGAAGAGAGGTCAGGAGAAAAGAGAAATTATGAAGGGATTAAGAGTTGACCTAAGTTTTTCCCATTCCACGTGAGTGACATCTTTGTCAGTTTGTTTCAAGTTGAATACATAAAAATAGGTAATATTTGAAATTTTAAAAGGAGAAGACTTGTCCAAATAGCAGTCAGGGCCTCTTTGTCAATATCTTAACCTTTTTCCCTTTAAAGTAACAATGTTCTTGTGATGTTTTTTTCTTCCTTTATCACACCAAGTCTAAAACCCATCTGCCCAATTTCAGCACCCTCTCTAATCTATGTCCCTTCAATCTGCCTGTCTTTTTACTTTCCATTGGGCACCCTTCACTTCAGTCAGTGGTCTAACCATGGTCAACCACACCTCTTTACTTCCCATCTGTTATTCTTGTCATTAGGGATGCTCTCTCCTTTTCATCTTTGCCTCTCCAAACCTAGAAAGTTTTCAGGGCCATCTCTTCTGACTACCCCATACAATTTAGTATACCATATGTTGTCTTACTGGTATACTACATTTTCAGTTGTCATCTTAGCCAGGCTGTAAGTTTCTAGAGGGTAGATACTTATGTGTCCATCCAGAACCTGACTGCAGGGCTGAACACTAAGCTAGCACTCAATACTTGACCAGCTGATTATACAAGCAACCCTTGTTATCCTGTGACTGCAGCTATACTATTTAAATTGTTCTGTGTCTGTGTGTGCTTGGTTGAATCTCGCGCGGGCAACAACAAGGAAATAATGTTGCAACAAAATGCATCTAATTCCATCCATAGAATCAGAGACTGAGAATTGGAAGGGACTACTTTAGCTTTCTAGCCTGACATATACACCAAGGGAAGTCCCATCCTAGCATGCCCTGAGACTCATCATCCAGCCTTTCCTTGAAGACCTCTACTCAAGGGAAACCAATGTCTGTTTGACCGGCTCCAATTTATAAACAGAAGCACTGACTTGAGATATCATGGGAAGCACAAACTCTGCTCTGAGAGCAGTAAAAAAAAAAAAAAAAGAAAAAGAAAACCCAATGACAAGAAGCAACCAAAAGGCTTTCCACTGAGTGACCACCACTCATAAACCCAGGTTCTTCCTCCACTCAACAGAATCTTCACTTGCTTCAGAGCAGTCATGAGACTTTAGCTGCTGCCTGTGGGGTTATAGCAGCAAAGGTACTGAAACGATTAAGACAGTCCATGCATTTCTAAAACATTTTATATGAATAAAGATTCTCTGGTTTGAATACATTTGCATGTCCCCACAGCACTTGACTTGCCAACACTGATAGAGCCCATGGACCATTTTATATTGCCAGACTTTCTTGAGTTTCCCTTCCTTCTCTCAGAAGGTGATTTTCTCATTAAGAGAAGGCAATGCCTTAAGGACCAAAGGGGTTTTGGCTTCATCTTTATTTATTATTTGTTATTTATTAGATTTTTACAGTATCTGTTCTCCAAAGAGTACAAGATCCTACATACATAACTCTCAAATTGTCCAAATAACTTTTTACAATAAATATTTACAGGCATCCTAACTCTCAACATTATAAAAGAAGGGGAGATAAATTGGGAAGAGGAATAGGAAAGGAAGAAAGATGAAAAACTGTTTTCAACATATCTCCTGACTTCCTCTCAGTTACTCTGCCTCATATCCTCACTTAGGTTGGTTAGTGATAGGAGGGTTCAACCATTCTAAACTTTTACTTACTCTCTTATCGTAGATTTACCAGACCTCTCAAACTTTTAGGCCATGACAAAAATACTGAAGGAGAGGCAGGGGGGTGGAAATCATTAACAATCTGTCTTCAACTACTACAAGTGCTCCACCTTAAACGAAGGTCGAAATTCATATGGTCTCCCCCTCTAGCAATAATTTTGTTCTCTGGCAAAATACAGTTTTAATTAAGGTCAGGCTTGCCGAGACTTAGAAAAAGGTAACAATTATCCAGTGAATTTGGGTCAGTTGAGACAGTCATTCTAGCTAATTCAATCCAAATGGTTGTCAATTAAAAAAAAAAAAGGAAGAAAGAAAGAAAGAAAAAGAAGAGCCTTTTGTAACGGATGACTAGCTGGTGAAAGAATGGAGGAAGATATGTAAAGACCATCCAAAGTTTGAGACCTTTTGACTTGTATGGTTTCCTGAATAGAGCTATGGCAGTTGAAATCAGCAAAGCTCAAGAAAAACCCACACAGTCTTTAACCCCACATTTCAACATCCACAATGGGGAATTGGTTTGGGGTAGGAGGCTTGGGTTTGTTTGTTGTTTGCTTGTTTTTGACAGGGAAGGCTAAGAAGCTTTACTAATGGAAAAAGCTCTAGCTCTCCGATTGGATTCCAACTGGAGCCTTTCCCTGAAGAATTTAGCAAGCTCAAGTAGGAAGTCATGGGGGGGAAAAAACGTAAATGGAAGAGAAAGGGTTTCAGTGAGGTTTAAAGGAAAAAGGATTCCATGATTGAAGCAAAATGAAAAAAAAATACATAGCTTCTTTTAAAGTTCTCACTCTCACTAATTTATTTTTGTCTTCCTTCTGTTTCTGTTTCCTAGGTGGCCATTGTTCTCAGACTTTCCCCTCTGCTTATGTAGCTCCTATAATTGCCCTTCTTTCAGAAGGTACACTCCAGTGGGAAGAACTTGGGATATGGAGACAAGGATCTAGATTTGAATCTCAACTCTGCTATGTATTACCGTGCAAGCTTGGACCAGCCGCTTTACCTCTATGGGTTTCATTTTCATCATCATAGACAGCTAAGTGTCATGGTAGATAGGGAAGCACGCTTGACCCGGAATTAGGAAGACCTGAGTTCAAAAGTGACTTCTGATCCAAACTAGCTGTGTGACCCTGGGCAGGTCATAACCTCTGTTTGCTTCAGTTTCCTTATCTATAAAATGGGGATAATAAAAGCACCTCGGGTTGTGAGAATCAACTGAGATAATACTTGTAAAAGTGCTTAGCAAACTTTAAAGTGCTGTATAAATGCAAGCTATTTTATCATCATCATCATCATCATCATCATCTTGAAAATATAAGAGTTGGACCAGATGTCCTCTAAGGCAGAGGTTCTTAACTTTTTGAGTATGTGTCCTGGATCCCCTTGGCCGTCTGGTGAATCTCTGGACCTGTTATCAAAATAATATTTAAATGCATAACTAAAATACATAAGATGATCAAGAAACAATGTCTATTGAAATAAAGATGTAGCTTTTTTTTCCCATCTAAGTTCACAAACTCCCTGTAATTTGTGATCTACAGACCCTGAGCCCAGGTTGAGAACCCCTACTCTTAAGTCACTTATCCTCTCCGGGTCTCAGTTTCCTCAGCTGAAAAATGCAAGTATTGAACTAAATGACCTGAAAGGTATCATTGACAAATCTATGATCCAAAGAATAGTTAACTTTTCCTCTAAGCCTGACATTTACTTTCTCCACTTGGTTTTTAAAAACTGTCCCGGAAAGCTGTCCTTGGGCAGTGGCTCACAGAGGAAGGAGAGCCCATACATTTCCCTAAAATAAACACCAAGTAGCTTGAAGATCTAAGCTCCTGCCCTGGGAGATCAGTTCCTGCTGGGTCCCTTTCATGTCCAAGGACAATGTCCATTGTTAGGAGTGGGTGGTGAAAGTGATGATGCTTCCCTTCTACCCCTCTCCCTGAAGTGCTACGCTAGATTGCAAAACAAGTTGCCTGATTGTAAAATTCCAAAAGGCACATTACCTCTTAAAAGGGAGACGTAGCCTTTTCTCTAATTCCAAACTGTGAATGTTAAAACTTAAAGACTGCTCTGGCTCCTATTAGTGACAGATGGAGCTCCCAAAGGGGTGGCTGCCTTCAAAGACAGGTAAATGAGGGCCCCGTATAAAACAGCCAAGTATTGATGTTGTAGTAAAATTCCAGAAAAATACATTGGCAGACAAGTAAATTTGTCACTAATAATTTAATGTAATTTCCCTAAAATGGAGGTAATAGGTACTCAGGGAATACACCTCCAGGGTTTACATCAAATGTGCATGTGGAAAATCGTGAAATAATATTTTTTTTTAAAATGTAGATGCTTTGTCTGACATGTTGGTTTATGATGAAAATTATTCTTCCAAAATGAAAATGGGGAGGGGGTCGGTGGCTGGGAAATAGAAGCTTCCAAATACACACATCGTCCGACTCCCAAACCTTTCCTGGTGGTGGCAGTTTCAGAAACAGTGACTGACTTGGATGCTGGAAACATTTGTTTACGTTTTATTTCCCCCTTAAAATGATGGACTGCAATTACCAAATATTAATGAACCAATCATGTTGCAAATAGTATTTCCCATGTCACTCTGAGTTATAGAATCTAATATTGGGCTCATTTGAAACATTCCAAAGTCACATATTTTTCCCCCCATTGCAAAGTGACAGCTCGAATTGTGTTTGGTTGCATCCGTCCAACCATGAGCAAATCCAGTATAAAAATTTCATTTTGTCTAACTGTTAATGCAATTTTTTTAAGCTCATATCCTAGGACAGCTCACTTTGCACAATGCTGGATGATATTAGGTGCTGCTTAAACACTATTATCAATTATAACATGCTGCCAGAAAAATTTGAAAACAGCACTTGTTAGGAATCCGGGTCAAGAGGTTCAGAGAAGGAAAAATAGAGATGGGGGAAAATATCATCCCAGCTTCTTCTAACTGTTCTGCTGTTTATGTTTCATATTACAAATAGGTCAATTTCCAGATATAAATCTGAATTTCATTGTTGATATTGTAGATTTAATAGGAAAGAAAAAAAGACCTGCAGTTTAAGAAAAGAAGGAATGAGTCAGCTGTCACAAGGCAACTGGAAAGATCAAGGCAGGACCTCAAACAGGGAGGGGGCTTCCAGGGAGCTGCATGCATAGGGAAACAGACCTTTCAGTATCATAACCAAAATTAGGAATTGATGTGAAAGTCAAAATTATAGAATGCCCGCCATTTCTCTATAGCATATTGACAGAGTGAAATGAATTCAGCAGACAATAAAGAGCTATCCCTCCAAAGGGGGGAGGAAAAAGGGAGAAAGAGAAAGCAGTCGTCAAATACTCCTGGTCCGTGTGCACATTTCATCAGAGGTGTGAGTTTAATCCTGCTGCCTGAGAAAAGTCGGATCCAATTTTGCAGCAGGTCACAAATAAGGAGTCCCCAGCCACTAATGTGGCTCAGGTTTTTTCTGGTCTCTTACTTAGGGTAGTTGGGCCAAATAATGATTTGTTGTATGCTTGTCTTGTAGTCTCTTGTCCCTTCTCTGTTCCAGACGTTCCCTAAAAGGCACAAGGTGGGAGGTGGTGATTGGGGTAATGAATCCGGAAGGTTACCAAATGGAGTTTATTATTGCCCACGTTTCCATGAGCTCAGGATTTGGGGAAACGTTTTCTTCCCGTTGCCATATTCCAATCCATGTTCCATGCTCTCTGAAAAGGGGTGGTTCTCTCTCTCTCTCTCTCTCTCTCTCTCTCTCTCTCTCTCTCTCTCTCTCTCTCTCTCTCTCTCTCTCTCTCTCTCTCTCTCTTCTGTGTGTGTGTGTGTGTGTGTGTGTGTGTGTCTTTCTCTGTCTCTGTCTCTCTTCCTCTCTCTCTCTCTGTCTCTCTCTCTTGCTGTCTCTCTCTTCCTCTGTCTCTCTCTCTCTGTCTCTGCCTCTTTCTCCCTCTCTCTCCCTCCCTCCATCTCCCAGCCCCCACCCCTCTCCCCAAACATTCAGGAAACAAACATCTCTTTGGTCTCTTTGGAATTATGTTAAGTATAATTTTTTTAAAAACTGCTCTTGCTATTTTTTTGTTGTTGTAGTTGCTACATTTTTATTTATTCCACTTATCCAACCATAATTGGATTTTCATGGCTCTGGTTTGTAATTAATGCCTTCAAGATCTACTAAATTTTTAGCACTCATCTTTACATTAAGCATATTCTAGGGACTGATTCAATTCAATTTAATTAAACCAGCATTTAAACACTTTCTGAGGGTAGGGTACCATTATAAGCCCAGTTGTTGTTGTTCATTTGTTTCACATGTGTCTGACTCTTCATGACCCCATTTGGGGTTTTCTTGGCAGAGACACTAGAGAGGTTTGCCATTTCCCTTTTCAGCTCATTTGACAGATGAGGAAGCTGAGGCAAGCGGGGTTAAATGACTTGCTCAGAGGCTGAACTCAGGTCTTTTTGACCACAGGTCCCGTGTTCTTTCTACTGTGCTGCCTACCTGCCCAAAGGATACTCTAAAGACAAGACAAAATAGTCTGTGACTTCGAGAAGTTTACCTTCTCCTGGGGAAGGAAGGAAGGAAGGAAGGAAGGAAGGAAGGAAGGAAGGAAGGAAGGAAGGAAGGAAGGAAGGAAGGAAGGAAGGAAGGAAGGAAGGAAGGAAGGAAGGAAGGAAGAAGAAAAAAAGTCTCTGCCTTTAAGGAACTTACATTCTACCTGGCGTACAGCTTCTATATAAATAAGAAAACAAAAGAATTTATGGAGAGAGAGTGATAACCTTGAGGAAAGGATAAGAAAAGGTTTCTCTTAAGGAAGTGATACTGTGAGCTCCTTGAGGGCAGGGGCTGTCTTCTGCCATTTCTGTAAATATTTTATTGACTGACTGACTGGTATCTAAACTGAGTCTTGAAGAGAACTAAAGGCTTCTAAGAGGTAGTGATGATTGGGAAATGTCCTCTCTCCACAGCTGGTGCCAATAACCAATAATGATTTATTAAGCACCCGCTGTGTGCCAGGCCCTAAGCTAAGCACTGGAGATACAAAGAAAGACACAAGATAAACCCTGCCCCCATGGAGCTCACATTCTAAAGGAGGAGGCAAGGGATAAAAAGAAATTGAAAAGGAAGCAGGGAGGGGGAACACTGGAGATAGTATTGGCCTGGGGCATGATAAAGTCCTGCAATCCAGGTGGGAGCTCATCTGAGGAGATGTGTTACAGATGGAATTCTTCTTGCAGACTGGTGAGTTTCCAGGGATATTGAAACTGAGGATGTGAATTCTAATCCAATCTAATCCAATAAACATTTATTAAGTGGCTACTATGTGTGGGGCACTATGCTAAGCCCTGAGGTACATTTAATAAAAAGAAAGATAGCGCCTGCCTTCAAGGAATTTACAATCTACTTACAACACACAAAAAGAAGGGGGGGGGTAAGGGGCGGGGTTGAAGGTGGAACATGACCCTTGGGGATACTCAGCACTGATCATCTTGTTCCATGGATTTGAAACCAGGCAAGCAGCAGATGTAAAAGTAGAGTGATCCCAGCTGGATGGGAAATGATACTTACTGTGGGAAATGTCTACTAATAGAGGGAGTAGACCGTGTTGTATTTGATGAAACAGCAAAAAGAACACTTTGGCTGCAAAAAAAGGAGTCAGTTTATGGGCATAACATAAAATGGTGAATGGTTTTAAATGCCAAGTCAAAGAATTCAATTTTTTTCTTAAAGGCAATGGGAGTTATTGAAGATAGTTGAGCAGAGCTCTTTAGATAATTTTGGCAGCTATACAAAGGATGGGTTAGACAGGGAAAGAGCCTGGAAGCAAGAAATCTAATTAGATAGGCATTACAATAGGCCAGTTAAGGGAGGATGAGAATATGAACCAGGGTGGTGGCCAAGTGAGTGGAGGAAAGAAAAAAAGGAAGAGATTGAAAGGTAGAATGAACCAGATTAGATTCTAAATTCCTTGAAGGCAAAAATTGTCTTTTGCCTCCTTCTGTATCCCCAATGCTTAGCACTGGGCCTGGCCCATAGTAGGTACTCGATGAATTTTAGTGACTTGGCAACTGATTAAGTGTTAGGTGAAGGAGAAGGGAGAGGTGAGGATGACCCATTTGTTAACCTAGAG